ATGGCTGCTGTACTTCAGTGTCCGCGCACGTTGGCGGTGCACTTTCCGTCCGAGATTTACCGTTCGACTGGTTCATCTCAAGTATTGCCTGAGTTGGTCAAGTCCTTAGATCTGCCCAATGTCTGTGCTGTCCAGTTTATGCCTAACGGTGTTGTTCGGGTGACCTACAAGGAACCCGCCCAGTGTGATGCTGCTCTCGCAAGTGGTATCAATTTCCGTGGTGCTCCGCTTCGCGTCGCTCCAGTTGATTCTCGTACCCGGTTGGTGTATGTGCGTGATCTGCCTGTGGAGGTTCCTGATGATGGCCACAAAGTCTTCCTGCGTGCTTTTGGTGTAGTTCACTCGTGTGTGAGGCAGACCTACCCTCGTCTGCCCCAGGTTGCTACTGGTACGCGTGTGGTCAAGGTTACCTTGGCCAAAGATCTCCCGTCGTCTGCTAGAATCTCTGGTTTTGATGTTCGCTTCTGGTATCAGGGCCAACCCCAAGCCTGTCCTGTCTGTCGCTCGTACGGTCACCGTGTCAAAGATTGTCCGTTCAACGGGTTGTGTCGTCGCTGTAGTCAGCCTGGACACATGGCTCGTGAGTGCTCCTTCCGTCGCTCGTCTGTTTCTACTGCAGCTGCGTCCTCTGTTCCCAACGTTTCCAATCCTGTTGCCGGCGTCGATCCCGCCATGTCTGAGGATGAGGATGAGGATGACCCGGATTATGTTCTTTCCTCCGCCTCCGAGCCTGGTTCGTGCTCCGGTGATGAGGAAGTCCTCCGTTCAGTTCCCACCTCTGTTCTGGCTGCGCGGGCCCGGAAGCGTTCTGCCCCGCCCGCTGTTCCGTCTGACGAGTCTTCCGTTGATCTTCGGGACAATGAGCTGTCCCCAGCGTCCGATCCTGTTGACCCTGCTCCCGGTACGCCTGAGTCTGCCTCTGCCGCGGTTGCTTCTGTTCCTGATCCTGATCCTGTGACTGCTTCTGCTGTTCCTGATCCCGTTGCTGATCCTGTTCCCGGTACGCCTGTGTCTGCCTCTGACGTTCCTGTTCTCCCTCCTGCTAAGGAGTCCTCCGGTTCCAAGCCTAAGAAGAAGAAGCCTCGGCCTTCTCCAGCTGCCCCGGCCTCTGCTTCTGCTGAGTCTACCCCAGTCCAGTCCGTTCCTGTTAAGTCTGCTGCAGTCCTGTCTGCTCCTGTTGAGTCTACTCCTGTTGGGTCTACCTCTGTCAAGTCAGCTCCTGTTGCTAAGCCTCGCAAGCGTTCGTTTTGGGAGGCTACTTGTCGCACTGGCTTTGGTTTTTTTGTTAATGATGGTACTGGTGCTTCTGTCTTCTTTGATTTTGGCCGTTTCTCCCGTTCTATTGAGGTCGACACTACTTCCTTCGAGTATGACCGTTTTGTTAAGTACGTTCACCATGGCGTTGGTCGTATTCCAATACGTTCTCCTGCTACCATCTATTTGTCTGCTGGTACCCCGTTGGAGTTTCCTAAGCCTTCCAAGTGATCTGTTTCCTCTGCTTCGTTTCCTGACTGCCTCCTGTTTAGCTCTTGACAAGTTCCCGCGTTTTCCCGTTTCCGTCTTCTGGTGGGCGAGGTTCGACACCTCGGCGAGTTTGGTGGACTGGTTCCCCCTCCATACCGTTTTGTTGCTGTCTGTCTGGCTTGGCTAGTGTTTGCTGTTTGACTCAGAATCATCATAGCCCATCCTCTAGGTAAATTATGAATGCTCCTTAATAAGAAAACTTTTGCCCCAAAATCAAACTTTATTAAGTACAAACGAAAATAAAAGTAATTATGTATGAAGAAATTCTAGGTTTGCTCCACTGATCGTGAGAAAGTCACAATATGATACTTTCTTTGACATGAGTTCCTATTTCGATGTGTCTAATTTAAGCTTCCCCGCGTGATAGCTCTTCATTAGCGAAAAAGTCCAAGTGATATTTGATTGACATACTGTTTGGGATCCTGAGGGTTTTTACACCTTCTCTCTGGCTTAACGAGTTTGCCTAACGATCGTGGGTCGTGCTTAACTGGCGAGGAATTTGCCCTTCAATTCCAAATTCTTTGATGTGCCGCCAGATGCCGTGCAAAAATATCACCGCTTGCTCCACGTGAATTCATTGCTGCCGGGCATCACTGCCCAGAAACCCAGAAAAGGAGACTTCAGGGCGAGACCGGATTTCAAATCCATGAAAATTCCCGTGGTAGCAAGAGTTTCCGCAGTATTATTTTCCCCGACAATTTTAGATGCATTTTAAAGCTTTAAAGGTTTTTTTTTTTTCTTTGCTCTTCCCCCAAAAATCAGGGATGATAAGTGTTAAAAATTCTGTGTTCTTCTACAACTTTTCAGCTGAGTTCAAGCTACAAAAATTTCTAAAATCTATTAGTTTCTGTTTTTGAAGAATCAAGATGGTCAACAAACGTGATTTTTAAACTGTAGTTACTTGTACAACTTTGTGCTTACCGTTGCTGAAAAATCGCCCTCTCTGTTTATTTAATTAAATATCGTAAAACGGGTAGCGGGTAGTGGTATCAATTTTCATACGCCTTACCTGACGCGGGGCGCTTCATTGTGGAACGCAGGGGCTAGTATCCCGTCCTTGTGACGTTTTGTTTCGCTAGTTGTTTTTTTGTGAACGGTGCTAAGTACCTTGCCGGGAAACAGCCCCCAGGGAACGCCGAGTTTCACTCGCTAGTGGTTTGTTTTTTGTCCCGTTTTGTGGGGCGCCCAGTCTGTTAGGTTCCCTGTGTATCAGGGCTTAACTTGGGCGTTTTCCACCTTGGGCCTTTTTTGTCATGGCTGCTGTACTTCAGTGTCCGCGCACGTTGGCGGTGCACTTTCCGTCCGAGATTTACCGTTCGACTGGTTCATCTCAAGTATTGCCTGAGTTGGTCAAGTCCTTAGATCTGCCCAATGTCTGTGCTGTCCAGTTTATGCCTAACGGTGTTGTTCGGGTGACCTACAAGGAACCCGCCCAGTGTGATGCTGCTCTCGCAAGTGGTATCAGTTTCCGTGGTGCTCCGCTTCGCGTCGCTCCGGTTGATTCTCGTACCCGGTTGGTGTATGTGCGTGATCTGCCTGTGGAGGTTCCTGATGATGGCCACAAAGTCTTCCTGCGTGCTTTTGGTGTAGTTCACTCGTGTGTGAGGCAGACCTACCCTCGTCTGCCCCAGGTTGCTACTGGTACGCGTGTGGTCAAGGTTACCTTGGCCAAAGATCTCCCGTCGTCTGCTAGAATCTCTGGTTTTGATGTTCGCTTCTGGTATCAGGGCCAACCCCAAGCCTGTCCTGTCTGTCGCTCGTACGGTCACCGTGTCAAAGATTGTCCGTTCAACGGGTTGTGTCGTCGCTGTAGTCAGCCTGGACACATGGCTCGTGAGTGCTCCTTCCGTCGCTCGTCTGTTTCTACTGCAGCTGCGTCCTCTGTTCCCAACGTTTCCAATCCTGTTGCCGGCGTCGATCCCGCCATGTCTGAGGATGAGGATGAGGATGACCCGGATTATGTTCTTTCCTCCGCCTCCGAGCCTGGTTCGTGCTCCGGTGATGAGGAAGTCCTCCGTTCAGTTCCCACCTCTGTTCTGGCTGCGCGGGCCCGGAAGCGTTCTGCCCCGCCCGCTGTTCCGTCTGACGAGTCTTCCGTTGATCTTCGGGACAATGAGCTGTCCCCAGCGTCCGATCCTGTTGACCCTGCTCCCGGTACGCCTGAGTCTGCCTCTGCCGCGGTTGCTTCTGTTCCTGATCCTGATCCTGTGACTGCTTCTGCTGTTCCTGATCCCGTTGCTGATCCTGTTCCCGGTACGCCTGTGTCTGCCTCTGACGTTCCTGTTCTCCCTCCTGCTAAGGAGTCCTCCGGTTCCAAGCCTAAGAAGAAGAAGCCTCGGCCTTCTCCAGCTGCCCCGGCCTCTGCTTCTGCTGAGTCTACCCCAGTCCAGTCCGTTCCTGTTAAGTCTGCTGCAGTCCTGTCTGCTCCTGTTGAGTCTACTCCTGTTGGGTCTACCTCTGTCAAGTCAGCTCCTGTTGCTAAGCCTCGCAAGCGTTCGTTTTGGGAGGCTACTTGTCGCACTGGCTTTGGTTTTTTTGTTAATGATGGTACTGGTGCTTCTGTCTTCTTTGATTTTGGCCGTTTCTCCCGTTCTATTGAGGTCGACACTACTTCCTTCGAGTATGACCGTTTTGTTAAGTACGTTCACCATGGCGTTGGTCGTATTCCAATACGTTCTCCTGCTACCATCTATTTGTCTGCTGGTACCCCGTTGGAGTTTCCTAAGCCTTCCAAGTGATCTGTTTCCTCTGCTTCGTTTCCTGACTGCCTCCTGTTTAGCTCTTGACAAGTTCCCGCGTTTTCCCGTTTCCGTCTTCTGGTGGGCGAGGTTCGACACCTCGGCGAGTTTGGTGGACTGGTTCCCCCTCCATACCGTTTTGTTGCTGTCTGTCTGGCTTGGCTAGTGTTTGCTGTTTGGCGCCATTGCACTACCCTACTGGGGGGCGGCCACTCCCTGTAAAAACAAAAAAACGCCTTTTAAAATAAGCTCCTAGGCTTATATAACCGAATAAGGATCGTATGCGACTAAAATAGAGTGTATGCTGGTCAATAGCCTGCGTGGCAGGCGTTCAAAAGGGAAGGGGAAGGGAATCACTCTGGTTTTGTCAATTTTTATAACATTTTTAAAAATAAATCAATTATGTATGTATTGTCTGTATTCTGCTCTGGCCATTGTCCTTCACAGAGTATTCTCAGTTGGAAAACAACTGTTTGAGACTCGAAGGACAGTAATAAAATTTGGATGGGATTCGCGCTCTTGCGGGATTTATTTTATTAAGTTTTTTTTTTTAGCCGCAGCCGAGTTTCCGTAATAGGTTTCGCGTTTCGGTAGCCTGCGTAGCAGGCGCTTGGAAGTAGTGGGCACAAGAGAAAAAACGGGCGCGCGAGAAGGAGACACGCGTGTCTCCCTCGCGCGCGCCCTTTCTCTCTGTCGCGCCCAGTAGTCTACAGGGCGAAAGAAACTAAGCTTCTTACTCCCTGTTCGCGCCACTACTTGCAAGTGCCTTCTACGCACGCTGTGTTAGATAAGTTTTCGTGACATGTTGACACTAAATAACGTCAACCGGAAACCAGCGTTCCTCGGAGAGATCATAAGCCGCGTCGGTCAATGCAATACAGCTGAGTCTATTACAGATTAAAAATTTTTTTAAAGTCATATAAACTGGAAACGACAATATTGACCGTTTTATAACTCAAACTAACTCAAATACAACATCCTCGCTGCGATCGATGAATTGAGCGGAAGTCGAGGTATCATTTCAGTAGTTCTGTAAGACGCCGCTGACATATCGATGACTCATCTGGTTTTGGTCGATGTTATCTTGTGCTTTCCCACTTTTTGTAACAAAGTTTCAATTTTGTTAATGATATATGAAATAAATCATATGTGAACTGCGGAAATGAAATGAAAATGAAGAAATGATCGTCGCAAATTGCGTTCACTGCGACGATCATTTCTTCATTTTCATTTCATTTCCGCAGTTCACAGATGATTTATTTCATATATCCATAAACATTCACTTCTTTCACGGGAACATATGAACCCACAATTGACCTGCTCCCAACGTCAGTGGCTTAATAGCTCAGTTGGTAGAGCATCGCACCGGTAATCGCGAGGTCACGGGTTCAAACCTCGTTGAAGTCCTGAATTTTTTTCAGGCTTCTTTACGCAATTGCATAAATCGCGTTCACTGCGACGATCATTTCTTCATTTTCATTTCATTTCCGCAGTTCACATCAGTAGGTAGGTAATGATGACGTTTCTATTGTTTGCACCCGCAAGTACGAAATGGTTAGGATGACGTAAAGACAGAAAATTCCTAAGGGACCCCTTTTAGGTAGTTTTTGTGACAGTTATTGTGCAGTCATACTTCATTACCTGTTATCAGTGACATTCTGTGGAGCAGTTGTTTTGAAAGTTATGGACCAAAATTAAAAGACATTAGTTAAGCGCAGATGAAGTTATAAGGTGCGTACTGTGTATATATAAACACTTGGAGAGTTTGCCAGACACGAGTTCACAAATCCTTGATTGGAAACCTTGCCAGATACTCTTTCTTTCTCTCGGACTGGAATAAGACTCAGCCCCAAACAAGCAAGACGAGTGAGAAACGGC